TTCATTAAATGATGATTCTGACATGAAAAGTTGTTAGAAATAATGAACAAAATCATGAGAACTTGATTGTACATAAATGGCTGCATGTGTTTACTCACATTAAATTTATTAAAGGGAGTGAAAAATATGGGAAAGAGAGAATCAAGTAACGGTCTGATTGGTTAATTTTGGATTGGTTCTTTTGGTGCTTTTTCCATATTTATTGAGAAAATAAAGCCAGAATTACGTGTGAATTTTATTTGATGATGGAAAGAGACAACATGCATGAGATCATTAAACCAATTGTGGTGATAAAGGAATCTATTTGGCATGGTGATTGTTCGGTGATTAATTCCTTAAGCATGTGCTGATTTCTACATGCATCTGTTAATATATTTAATGAACATAATTGAAAAGTCAAGATGACATGTGTGATATGACTTATTCCATATTGATGAATGCTACTGCATATGAAATATGAAATTAACTGATTAGTCTCAATTTAGTGTGAAAATTGGGAATGTTCACATGCATGGGATAATAATGTTGGAGGAATGCCAACTATACGTTGAAAATATATTAGCTTTCATATCCATTCCTCTTGCCATAAAATGGGGTAAATAAGTTGGTTAAATTTTCATATTTGGTTGAATTGAAGGCTTCAATTAATTCACCTAAATTAATTCAATGCAATTAAGTAAGATTGCATATGAACACGACAAAATGTGATTTTGTCCAAGTGTTAATAAGGTGAACATATACTTTATGGTTTGATATGATACAATATTATCTTGTGTCAAAAAGTGAGAAGTCGCTTATGTTTGGAGAAATAGTAAATCTTGTGAATCAAGATGTTTAGTCTTATTCATTGATGAATTTGACTTCAATTGTGGAACCAATTGAGTTGGTTTATGCTTGAAAAAATATTAATGGTCTATGAGATGACCTTGATCAAATTGTGTGATCAAAACTAAAGATAATTGGATTGAAGTACATAATGACTTAACGACCACTATCTAAAAGTATCTAAATTTCACGAGTATTATCAAAGTGATAAGTGAATGAAAGAGTTAATAAACTCTAAGTTCAATTATAATCCCAAATGTAGGGGTTAACATATTAATGCCAAGTTCAAAAATGACCCAAAACGTGGGGGTTAACATTAAATGTTTGTGAATTTATAAGACAAATTCAAAAACATGTGAATGCAATATTACAAGATTGCATATAAATTCCTAATTGAAGAACTGTGGGGGTAACTTAACATAAAAGTTAAAAGTTTCCTAAACCTTTTAATCGTAGAAATATATCTATGAAGGAGAAAATGTAGAAAACCCTTATATATAATTATAATGATGAAATACACTAAGTCTTAGATGGATGAAATGGGTAAAAGCCGATTAAGTGGATGAAATGAGTAAAGGCCGATTATGGCGCTTGCAAAATCAATGGAATATTTAAAGAATATTCATTGAAAATCATTCTAATAGTTCAATGAAGAGAATACCTAATACCCAAGTATGAAATCCACAATAAAAGTGATTAACTAGTATAATGATTTGATGGAAATCATCCAACATTGTCTTAAAAAAAAATAAAAAAATCTATAAAGCTTTAAAATAAAGCGAAACTTGTGGCTTCATAAAAAGAGAATTCTTGGTGGTGACTAATTGTGTCTATCAAATGAATCGATCATTGGCTATCTATATTTTGATGTGATACTATGTCACATGAAAATGAAAAGTAAAGACATGACTTAATAAGGAAATTATCAAAGATGAAATAATTTCCATAAAGACGTAGCGGATACTTTAAACCACTAAATAGATTTTTAGTGGCATCTACTTCAAGTAGGATAAATTTGAAACTCCTAAAATATAAAGATTCACCAATGACGGTAACCCTACCTCTCATTACTCAAAAGGTAATCCACGGGTTCAAATGGTACTAACAAGTCATTCAATATGTAGATGGTTACAGCATTATATAAATCCGCGATAATCCTATCCTTATTAAAATAATGCTCCTTGTTACTGAAATGAGGGTTGAACTTTAAGCACTTAATGAAGTTCAGTGCTAAAACACAAGTACCTTTAAAAGTAACAAAGGTATTGAAAGAACTTCACCTAAACGAATTTCGAGGCGGTGCCACCTCAATAGAGAATTGGAGTTTCTCACTTAAAAGTTTGTTGAAAATGATAAGTGTAAGGCCATATGAGCGCTAAGCAAGATTGAAGAACTTGAGAACATGTAATGCTTGTGTGTGTGTCCTTACCGATACTGTTACATGGAATAACTGGTTCAAAGTTTCACGCTACTTTTGATTCCGACTTTACTTTGTTTGGATTACACTATGATTAGATTCAAATCCAAAGATATCTAATCCTGAAGCATGAGTATTGTATATTTTGAATATGAGAGTTTATTGAATTTTGAACAAGTGAAGGATTGATGGAAATTTTTTGTTCAAAACAATAAACATGCGTGGAATGGAATGGACGAAATTGAAATAAAAATGTAGACAGGTGACAGTCAAAATGCATTCCGAAACTGCAGGGCCTTTACTGGCATGAATAGTTAAATTCGACCGTTAGATCATTTTTTCAGCGATTTTTCGGTTGTTTTTTTGGTGGCCTTTCATTTGTTTTAGCACCACTTCGTATGGCCTCGTTCCATGACTATATATATAGGTGGTTTTTTATCATAAGAATTTAATGGAAAAAACACTTGATTATATCATGATCATGCTATTAATTCCACAATAGAAGGACAAATGCTTCTTCTTCCATATTCAATTCCCCTTGTGCTCTTCAAGTTCAGGTGGAGAAATGCTTGTGCTTTTGTATTTCTCTACATCAAGGCTTGATTAATCCCACAAACCGTTTGCCGTAAGACCCTTTAAGCACCGAAATTGTTATCGAGAGTGGGCAAATATCATTTGAGAATAACAATATTATGTCATGTTCAAGCCTTCATTTTTATTATATTTTTTATTCATCTTCATCTTCTTGATATTATCTATCTTGGTTCTTCTCCATTTTCTCCGGTGTTGATAAATTTTACCAATAGTACTTTGTGCAGTGTTAGGCCTTGTTGCATTCATTTTCTTGGTTGTAACAGTATTCTATGCAAAGATTGCTCTCTACAAAGCATTTGATTTCATGAAGGAAAAGGTGAAGTTTGGTGAAATCAAGGTTGGCAAAGAGGTGGAAGAATACGAAAGGCTACCCACGACTGCGTACGATTACACAAGGTTAAGAAAATTTGTCATATCATACAATTTGTCTATAGTTATGTTTAGTACTCTCCAGTTTAGCAGTACTAGTATCCTATTTTCATCATGAACTATATTCTAGCCATGTCAAGATGTATTGGCTGACATGCAAGTGAACGACACGGACCAAACCAGACCCAGCCCATCATATGCAGTTCAGAGCTAGCGCTCGTGGTCCACACGGCTGCACGAGCCAGACGTCCCATCCGATATTAAAGATTTTGGTTTTATAAATTAAATTTTGGTATATAGAGAAGCTGGAAATTGAATAAAGAGTTAGTGGTTTATTCTTCTGGACAAACAGATACTTGTCTATCCTAGCCATTTCATGTTATTTTTCAGGATTTCGTCTTTAAATCTAACTATTTTCTTTCTTTCCAGCTTGAAGAAGTTTGTCGAGAGGTCGTGAACTTAAATTTTCTTTTAGCTTTCTGCTATTTATTTTTTCACTGACAAGCTAAACTTTGGCAATTACGGGTGAATTGAAGGGAATGAGAGAAATTGCGAAGGATTACAACCTTGTTGGGCTCTCCCAGGTTAGAATTAATCTAGTTGTACAAACTTTGTACAAACTCAATTTTTGGTTTTGCATAAAACACACAGAATAACAGAGCTGCGAACAGATGAAGCAACAGAAACATCCAAAGTATCAACCAATACAGATAAATCCGATGAAAAAAATGGGATCACTTCTTTTGGACTCATTGAGATAACTCATGCCCCTCTTTTCTCCGCGGCCAAAATGAAGCACGCGCATGTCAGTATCAATGTCTTTGATGCCGAATAAATGATCGACATTACTGTATGCCCACCCCCGTCCGGACCAAGGAGCCTGAATCTATTTCAACCGATATGCCCTTAGGCACAGCCATACATAACATAGAAATCACCATCAAGGCAGATAATAAAATCAGAAAATCCAAACAAGCCTTCCACTGGACAGATGCTAAGAGGACCCTTGCTCTTATTGATTGTACTATTCACATATTCTACGGGACTCTCAAAACCTATAATTACTTATAATCACTCTCAAACATGCTTTTAGTGGTGATAAGTCTTCCAAGTTTCCCCTTTCGATGTGCCAATGAATTTTTCCAAACCATCTCTTTGCAAATTAGAAGTTCGCTACTTGTATAGTTTATTGGGGTTAGAGTTGCTTCAGAAGTAGTATCTCCAATTTAAAAGAAAAGTGTTGGAGGATGAAGACGCTTCTTATACAAGAGCAAAACTTGGATAATTTTACATCAAAATATACAATGTCGGGGGTTTGTGCAAATGAATCTTTGGAAAGATTTATTGAATATTTAGTGTTTATTCTCGTGAACTTCGAATAAAAATGAGTTTCTAACTTTACTGAAACACAACAATTGAGTGCTTAATTATATTTGAGAATTATTGTCTGTCACGCAGGAAACAGTGTATCTATTTGTTGAATTCCATTGAGAGGTGAATTTCTCAATCTTTTCAAAGATATTTAAGATGGCTATAAATGTAACCTTTTGGTCTACTTAGATGGTGAGTCGTTAGCTAACTTTTGTTTTTTCAATCTTCTTAATAATATATTTTGGTCGTGTATTATGTATCAAACTGGACGACCGCAATTAGAAATGCCTACATCAGACATGACATGTAGTACCAACATTTGGTCCTTAAGAACTATAATCTAAGGTCTTGACAAGTACCTCACCATTATACCAATAATAAACATTTTGAACTCGAGAAAATATAATTTGTTGTTATTATCATATGGTTATTAATTATATTTTGAAGCATCAACAAATAATTTTACCAATTGAGAACAATTTACATCTTAAAATTCTCTTTGCCACCAATAATCTAGTATTGAGAAACTAAGTACTGGAAACTAGTCTAGTATTGTCAACAAAAGAAGATGGGTCGATGAAACAAGTTACAAACCCTTCAAATAAATATCATAGAGCTCTATTCGACAAGACTGAATAAGGCCTACATGGCACGATAGAGGCTCGACCCATCATTGTCGAGTACGTAGGGCATCGAATGGCGAGCGGTGTGGAATGGCAGCAGCCCACGGATTGAACGTGATTGGACGGGATCGAACAGGACCTACATGGCACGGTAAAGGCTCGACCGATGTGGCTAATTGGGTCGTCGATGACGGGGCTGATGGGACCGCAACACGCTCACATGAAGGGCACATGGTGAGGGTTGTTGGAGGGGTCATTTGCATGTAGAATTGTGGTGACAGTTTAAGTGCCCTCAGTTCTTGCACTTCCTTCTGTAACCTTCTGTTCTCTTGTGTCAAATTCTCACAACAACTCTTCAAGAACTCACAGTCGACTTCAGTTTGCTTCAATTTTGTTCTGTAAAAATGAATTGTTTAAGCAGTTGGTTAGCCAAGCCAATAACTATGTTACTATGATTAATTTGAGATCATAAAGGCCTAATCTTGATTATTTTTGGGTTCATTGTTCATAAGTTTGCTCAACTCAAATCACTTTGACCAAGTCTATCAACTTTTGACAAATAAAGCCATGATTCTTGTTGATCAGATCTGTTCATATCACATCAATATCTATCATCTACAGGACATTCAACTTATTATCCACTTATAATCCAACTCATTTTACTCACAACTTATAATTACTTCAAAAAGCTAGTGGCTCACCTTGCCCTCCTGTTCTGAAACCACACTTCCACCTGCCTGGGCCTTAGCCCCAATCTCTTGGACAAAGCCAGCTTTTGCTTCTGTAAAAAACCAAAAAAGAAGAGAAAAAAAAGTTAAAATCTTATTGATTGCACAGTCGACTCCATATAGTATTGTTATGGAATATGCACTCACGGGATTCAGAGTGTTGTGTTCTTTGAAGCTCTCTTCAAGAATGGCGGATTGGTCTTTCGAAAGCCTGAGCTTTTTCCGAGATCCATCACCATCTTCCTCATCGCTGATGCCTCGAGAGCAATCCCTCTCGAGTTCATGCTCATCGATGCCCGTGGGTTCTCTTTCGCTTCGTTTCCCACTCACACTCGAGATTGTGCTGTTCGGTGAAGACACTCCGGCCTCCTCTTCCAGGTCCGCCGCCGTAGGCAGGCGGTTAACGTCAATACCCTTCAGAAACGTCCTGGTTTCTCGATCTGCAACAAAAAAATTGTGGGATCTGAGTTTCAGAACATAAAAAGACATTTTTTTACTCTTTTATCCTTTTTTTTTTTAATGATAAAAAAAGTTCCAAAAAAAGGGGTTTTGAGGGGTGAAAGGTAGATTATAAAAGTGAAAATTTAAGATGAAGAACCCACCAGAGGAAGGCCAAGAAGGAGAAGATGAGATCAATGAAGGCATGAGATTCAGCTGGAGTGAAGTATTAGAACTGGAAGAAATCCAGTTTTCTGCTGGGAAATTCAAGCTTAGACTCAAACCCAAACCTTCTTTTTCCAAATTCATTTTCCCAAGAAAACAAAACCCAGTTTCTTGGTTTTCTTGATCTGTTTCCCCGAGTTCCTGGCTTTGTAGCGAGAGAGAGAGAGAGAGGAAGAAGAACTGAAGGTGAAATCTTGATTCTCAATTGATGAATGTAGATTGGTGTGGGGATGCAATAAAGGGTGTAATATATAGGGAAAGGAGAAATTATGGGAGCGTTGGGGTAGGGTGATGGGTGGAAGTTATGATGGGCTTGATCAGGGTTTGTCAAATATCTTAATGATGGATATTGTCCCCTCCCCCCTAAACATTAATGAATTATTTACTTGACTGCTTTTTTCTCACTCACACACATTTCCTAGTTATTATTTTTGACTATGATAAAGAGATTTGTATTGAAGTCATGCAATAGCCAAGGAGGAGGAGCTCGGTTATGGCTTGTAAATGAAGCTTCAAAGGCATATCCTACGGAATTAAGAAGGGTAATTCTCATTAGTTAGGGATCTCTATTGTTATTTTCTCTAATGTAGTTAGAGCTGGACATGGTCCAGTTCGATTCGATTTTCAAATCCGAAATTTTCAAGTATTTAATAAGTGGAATCGTCGAGTCCAAATTTAATAATAAAACGATTTGGGTTCGATTCGGTTCTATTTGGCTCCTAGATTCCGCATTATAATTAATTTTTTTAATATTTACAAAGTTACATTAATTCAACTAAGAATATGTTCAATATTAACTCTTACAAAATAACGTAGTCCAATCTTATGTGTCTTTTGCGTCTTTTTTTACTGAATTTTTCATAAATTTGATTGTTAAAATCACAGGAAGATGAAGATAGCGAGCTCACAATAATTAAGAAAGGTGTTGTCGAGCTTCAATTTGACTTCTCCAAAACTGTAAAAACGATACTATGATAGAATAATCGATTTGGATAAAACTTAGATCAATTTGACTAAACTGACTTTGAACTGAAAATTAAAAATAGAAAAATCATATTTTTGGGTTTGAGCTGAATTAACTAATTAGCAAATTTATTTAGAAAAATAAAATAATTTGACTTATTTAAAATAAAGAATTTGGGGGCACATACCATGTTTCCCGATTACCATTCTAGATGAAATAATGCAAGGTGGGTCTAGAAAATTTTATTATCCCTAACTTTGAACATGAAATTACTCAGCATTATATAAAGGAAACGTGTACATGTATTCTTCAAACCGTATACTAATCGTTAAATTTGAGTTCCTATTTATTTATTTATTCATTCATTTATTTAATTTTGACATTCAAGACTACAAAATATCATTTGGTGCTCATCAACATAGTGAGATGGAAAGCGTGGATTGTCCCAACACCATCAATTTCATCATCGTCATCACTGCCCTCATTTCTCCCCGATCCTTTGACTTTTCTAGTCCACCAATCAATGAATTTTCTTCTCCCCTCAGTTCTCCAATGATGATAGTAGAGTATGTTTGGCAATGGCAATGGCAATGGCAATGACAATGACAATGGCAATGACGATGGTGGGGAGTCTACTATCGCCAGTAAAACATAAGAAGACAATTAATCTTATTTTTCCTTTTCTTTTTTATTTGATTAATCAATAAACTTTCATCAGGACTTATGTGAACAAGCAGTATAGTTTGAGGACTGTAAATGCAAAATTGGCTTATTAAATTATTGGTCTAAACTCTGAAGTCACATCAGTTAGGCTTTGGACAACAATTCATTTATACCATGATTCATGAATGGATGGTTCTCATTCACTCAGATAAATCGTTGCTCAATAAAAACCAAACCAGAACAACAGTCGAAGCCAATTCCTCTGTTTTCGAAACTTATTTATGTGAGATAATCACGCCGGGGCATTGACAAAGTTGTCCCTTTCTTATCCTTTTATTCGATTTTATAGCATGATACTATGCTTCTTTAGGTCACCCTTTTATCCAATTTTTTCAAGGTTAAAGACTTTTCCAAATTTTCATTCTAATTCAAAAACATAGCTCAACTCGTGGTACACATTTAAGTCGAGTAGGTCGAGCATGTCACAATAATGTCTCACATTTGTTTATGTTTTAACTTCAATGTAAGTCGAGCAGGTCACAATTATGTTTCATATTTGTTCACATTTTCATTTCGATGTTTTGCAACTCAAAAAAGTTAACTGCCACGTTTAGAATAAAGTGTGCATACTGAAATCAAGCAATTGGTTAAGAAGAATGTGTAGTTAAAAAGTATTTGGTTGGATTTTTTTTAATCTTTTAAACTGTCTATTCATGTTTCGACACGGGTTCCTCATTTTTAATCCCATTTTTGTAGCATTTCTCAACACAAAAATATGAAAAGTAGGGTAGTTTTAGGGAGGACAAAGTGGGGTGGTATTCACGTGGGAACACACTACCTTCCTTGTTGGTTGCTCTCACTTAATTTATCCCAGAAGTCACGTGGACCGGCATGTCTTGCTGGTAAACACGTGGTTTCATACGTCCTATTTATGTGCAATTAATGTGTGATACATAGGAAAACAATCCGACACCCACTCTCTACAATCATTTGAACTAGAGGATAAGAGCTCTGAGCTCTGCTCCACTACCAGGGACATAACAGGTGGCCTGGTAAAACTCAGAGGGTAATGCTATTTGGACGTTCAAATTCTACATTGTTGTTGACATTGAGTCATCTGTAAAGGATCCTGAATAATTGTTATTCAAATAAATCATTGAGTGATCTGTAAAGGATCCTAAATAATTGTTATTCAAATAAATTGCCAATTATCTGTCACATTGCACAGTGTCAACAAAGATGTCAACAAAAGTATGATTCTAGTATGATTGTTAACTTTACCGCTCTTTCCTACCCAATGTCCCCACCTAAAAAATTATGCATTTCAAAATGTATATGAGCAATGCTATTTGTATATAATTATGTACGCAATGATGATCAAACAGATCAAATGGAAGAAAGAAAAATATTATAATAATTGAATTTCTTTTCTTCCCGTTTCTTTTTTTTTTCTCTTTCTCTCTCTTTTATGTCATTTATGTGTATGCCATTATGCACATAATAATGTACGAATATCATTACTCAATTTATATAGTTACGCATGAATAATTACTAGTAGTAGCACTAGCTTAACAACATCAATCTAGAAAGCATTAGTTGATACGTCAAATTAAGTTGGGCAACAATTCATTTATATCATGATTCATGAATGGATGGTTCTCATTCAATCAGATAAATCGTTGCTCAATAAAAACCAAACCAGAACAACAGTCGAAGCCAATTCCTCTGTTTGCGAAACTTATTTATGTGAGATAATCACGCCGGGGCATTGACAAAGTTGTCCCTTTCTTATCCTTTTATTCGATTTTATAGCATGATACTATGCTTCTTTAGGTCACCCTTTCATCCATTTTTTCAAGGTTAAAGACTTTTCCAAATTTTCATTCTAATTCAAAAACATAGCTCAACTCGTGGTACACATTTAAGTCGAGTAGGTCGAGCATGTCACAATAATGTCTCACATTTGTTTACGTTTTAACTTCAATGTAAGTCAAGCAGGTCACAATTATATTTCATATTTGTTCACATTTTTATTCCGATGTTTTGCAACTCAAAAAAGTTAACTGACACATTTAGTATAAAGTGTGCATACTGAAATCAAGCAATTGGCTAAGAAGAATGTGTGGTTAAAAAGTATTTGATTGAATTTTTTTTTTTAATCTTTTAAACTGTCTATTCATGTCTCGACACGTGATCCTCCTTGTTTTTAACCTTATTTTTGTAGCATTTCTCAATACAAAAATCGGAAAAGTAGGGTAGTTTTAAGGAGGACAAAGTGGGGTGGTATTCACGTGGGAACACCCTCCCTCCCTTGTTGGTTACTCTCACTTGTTTCTATTTAATTTATCCCACAAGTCACGTGGACCGGCATGTCTTGCTGGTAAACACGTGGTTTCATACATCCTATATATGTGCAATTAATGTGTGATACATAGAAAAACTATCCGACACCCACTTTCTCTACAATCATTTGAACTAGAGGATAAGAACTCTGAGCTCTGCTCCACTACCAGGGCCATACCAGTTGGCCTGGTAAAACAGCAAAATTCAGAGGGTAATGCTATTTGAGGGTTGCTACAGGTATACACGTACCCTTATCAAACCCTCACACTTGCGGGCCTCGACGTAATTTTATTTTATTTTTTATATGGGATCGACCCCTACAGTGAGGAGTCGATAAGACCTCTTTAAAGCTCAACTCTGTACACAGAGCTTAATACGTGTTATTTGGACGTTCAAATTGTACATTGTGTTGTTGACATTGTCTGATCTGTAAAGGATCTTGAATAATTGTTATTCAAATAAATTGCCAGATTATCTGTCACATTGCACAGTATTAACAAAGATGTCAATAAAAGTGTAATTAGAGTATGATTGTTTGAACTTTACAGCTCTTTCCTTCCCCAAAATTATGCATTTGAAAATGTATATGAGCAATGCTATTTGTATATAATTGTATACGCAATGATGATTAGACAGATCAAATGAAAGAAAGAAAAATATTATAATAATTGAATTTCTTTTCTTCCCGTCTCTTTTTTTTTTTTTCTCTTTCTCTCTCTTTTATGTCATTTATGTGTATGCCATTATGCACATAATAATGTACGAATATCATTACTCAATTTATATATTTACGCATGAATAATTACTAGTAGTAGCACTAGCTTAACAACATCAATCTAGAAAGCATTAGTTGATACGTCAAATTAAGTTGGGAATGTATGTCACATTTATTGAATTCGTAATTTCATGCCATATATATTTCATTATAGTTAACAGTTCCAGCTCTTTATCGTGATTACGATAAGTAAATTTTATAAGCTTGCCCAAACATATTCTTACGGATTTTTTAAAATAATATTTGTAATTGAACACGTTGGTCTTGCTTGGCTCGATTTGATGCTTAGATATATATTTTTTGAGCTGGTCTAGTCGGTCCAATTTTATCAGTAAATATGCTTCAAATGAATTCATCTGCCAAATATATTTCGTTACAAGATAACTATATTTTAATATAAAACTAGGAGTAAATTATTTTTTTAGGAAATAATTGTTATCTTAGGAGAAAACTCATTTACACAAATTCAAATTGATGTAA